GAGAGGGAGAAAGAGGGAGAGAGGGAGAGAGGGAGAAAGAGGGAGAAAGAGGGAGAAAGAGGGAGAAAGAGGGAGAAAGAGGGGAGGTCAAGTGGGAGGCGGAAAACACGCACTCAATCGCGCTCGGATAGGCGTTCCACCAATCGATACTCCGAAGGAGCCAGGGATACTTGCCGCAAACGAGCAGGCCAACCAGGCAGAGGGCACTGAAGGAGAAGAATTTCCAGCACGCGGTCTCGAACTTGTGGACGGCGTTGGAGAACTCGGAGTTGCTGAAGCGCCTGTGTGTGTGTGTGTGTGTGTGTGTGTGTGTGTGTGTGTGTGTGGCCATGGCGAGGCAGTGGATGTAGGGGGGGGGGAGAACAAGGGAGGTGGGTTAGCAAAGTGCCGGATGGAGGCACGAACACACGGCAGAAGGGTGCAGTAGGAAACGCACACGATGGAGCCATCAGGCCGGGTGACATCACCCTCCTGGGGAGACTCATCCGCGGTGAGAGGGAGGAAGAACTTGTCGCGGCTGAGGACCTTCTTGGCAAAGGGCTGAAGCGTGCGCATGTGCACAGGGGGGGGGGGGGGCGAAAGACAGAGTTAGATGAACAAGAGAAGGAGGCGTCCAATCAACAACCATGTGTGGCATCATGAGGAGGCCGACGCACGATGAAAAGAAGGTGACGAAGACCGGAGAAAAGGGCCGCCCAGATGCAGGTGTACAGCAGAATCATGGGGATATCCTTCATGGGGTGAAAAGGCCGGCCAGTGGGGGGAGGGAGGCACAAAGAGAGGACGACATGTCAGGAGCCAGGCCGATGGGCAGCGTAGCAGGCTGCCAGTCAGAGAAAGATGGCCACGGAGGGAGACACATCAAGCGCCCGAGGCCCACGCACCGAGACACACAGGTACACGCCACTCAGGAGCCCGTCCTTCAGAAAGGCGATCTCACTCAGGAGATCTGGCGGCATCATCTTGTGATGGACAAAGGGCAACAGGACAGTCGGGATGTACGGGGCCAGCCAGGCAGGACCAGTGGTCACAACGTCGGCCGCAAGGGCCGCAGCCGCGGACCGAACGGTCGGCAGGGTCATGGTTGTGCCGAAGTCGCGAAGTGCGTGCTCTGCGCGGGCAACAGAGCAAGGCGGGGAGGAGGAAGGGAGGGCAGAAAGGGAGTGAGTGTGGCAGACGGGGGAGGGGGGGGGTGTTTGGTTTGTTGGGAACTCATGTCCGTGATTTCTTTTTTCCTGATTTTTGTTTATTTTAGTGGGGGTGTGCGTGTGTGTGGGGGGGGGGGGTGGGGTGGGGGGGGGGGGGGGGGGGGGGGGG